TTGCATTTGGTTCCCAAATGTCTTTGCTGGAGGTGGAATTGCCCCGCCCTTGTGAGTCCGGGCTAAGCAATCTGCTCGGGTTTGCTCTGGGGACCTTTTGTTCCCTACAAGCTCTCGGTACAGCTTTGGAGGATGGGAGTGAAAATGGTGGCCTCCCGGTCTCCGCCCGAGGAGCCAAGAACTCTGAGCTCTGCTCCTCAGTGCGCCCCCAGAGAAAAGCAGTCAATCACTCCTGTCTCCTTGGTCTCCGGCGGCACTCCGTGCTCACTCGGCCTGTGACCAAGCGTTTCTATCTCTGGCACCCGACCCCGTGTGGAGTCTCCAAACCCAGCAGATCCCTGCAATGTGCTCCTGTGCCGCTCCTCCCAGGGGAGGAAGGGGAGTCTCCCCGGCTCTGCTGCTTGTTGGGTCCCTGCTGGAGAAGCAGTGGCCCGACTGGGCCGCGGATCACAGTTTATGGCAACCCCGAGCTGAGAGCCCGCGCCTCGGCTCGGTCTCTGCAGCCGGCTTCCCCGCTCTGATACCTGGGAGCTCTGCCGCACTCAGGCACCCCCAGTCTTTCTGTGACCCCGAGGGTCCTGAGACCAGGTTTCCACCTCCCGCTTAGCCACTGGAGTGACGTCCCTCAGCGGAGCCGACTTCTAAAAATTCCGATTTTGTGCTCCGCGGCTCGATCACTTGCCAGAAGCGGCGGAGGCCCCCTCCTCTGCCGTCTGTCCTCCCGAATATCGCCTCGGATTCACTTCTCCACACGTCCTACCTTACAGTAAGTGGTCGCTTCTCTGTTCAGAGAGTTGTTGCTACTCTCTTCTTCGCTCTCCTGTTGAGTTCGTAGGTGTTCAGAATGGTTTGATCCCCATTCAGCTGAATTCCTGAGACTAGATGAAATCCAGGTCTCCTACTCCTCCGCCATCTTGCTCCGCCTCCCGATTAATATATATTTTTTAAAAGATTTTATTTATTTCAGAGAGAGAGAAAGCATGAGAGGGTCAGAGGGAGAAGCAGACTCCCTGCTAAGCAGGGAGCCCAATGGGGGGCTTGATCCTGGGACTCTAGAATCATGACCTGAGCCAAAGGCAGTCATTTAACCAACCGAGCCACCCAGGCGCTCAATACATATTTACATGTGTTATATACTCTATTTTTACAATAAAGTAAGTTTGAGAAAAGAAAAGTGTTAAGAAAATCATAAAATACACTTATTGTACTGTATTGTATTTATCAAAAAAAAATCTGTGTATAAGAAATGGACAATGCAATACAAGCCCATGTTCAAGGGTCATCGGCATTTCCTTTTCTCACTGTCTCATGAATGTACAGTGGGTTTGTTTCCAAAGGTGTCATAACCTGATGATACCATTGCTCTGGTGGCTAATAGATGTATGCTTTTGCATTCCGAGTTTTTAAAAGTTCCATTTAAAAAATCTAATAGGGCAAATAGTGATAGATAAAACAAAAACTCTTGAGAGTCTTCAGTAATATCCAAGAGAGTAAAGGGGTCCTGAGTAAAAAATTTCGAGTGCTGTTTAGGCCTCATTTGAATGGTGCTTCTTTTGAGAAGTTTTTGCTTAGGTCGTCTACCAGAGTAACCATTGAGTAACCTTGGTGGTTTGCACTTGCCCTGTCATAGCACTTATCATACTGTATTGTGATGTATTAGTTATTTATCTGGCCAGGCCAGTAGACACAGAAAGCTCCATAGAAGAAGGAGCTCTGCTGTATCCCCGGTACTGAGCACAGGTCTGAATACATAGTAAGCACTCAATAAACACATGTTGAGTGACTCTCTTCAGAGGTATTGGGGGATACGAGGACTATAACTTGTTTGAATTTATCACCATTTTGTACTTTAGTGATACATTCATTTCTTAGTTTTTTGACCCTGATTTTTTTGACCCACCAATATCTGAAAGGGTTTTAGAAAGCAAGTTGTGTATGTGTGTGTGCTGAGTGTACAGTGTACACACACACACACGCGTGCATATATAGAAAAGAAATGTATACATATTAGAACAGGAAGAACCTATTTCTGAATCTTTGTCTTCCCAAACCATGGAGTCTTGGACAAGTCTTTATTACTTTGAGTCTAACTTTCCTCATCAAATAATGGGATTGAACTAGATTATATAAAACCTTTTTCCTATATGATACTATGTGATTACATGTGAAAGGTGTCAAAAATATAGTAAGCATGTGATTTATGTATTATATTTTATTAAAAATGCACATAAATTTAGTTTTATCCAAATATTAAAATAACTTTGTTTTTACAGGAAAGATGATAAAGACTATGCTTTAAAACAAATAGAAGGAACTGGGATCTCTATGTCGGCATGTAGAGAAATAGCAGTAAGTGAAGTTCTTTTTATAATCATTATTATCAATTGACTTATGAGTGTCAACTATGTAGGTCTCTGAATTGTATTTGTCACATATACACATTAATTGAAAGTTGGTAAATATTTTTCATATTGACGATCTATAGAAAAATATATTTGTTTCCTAAGAGGAGTAAAGGTGGCATGTAGTTCTAGCAGAAATAACTGTATAATTCATTTATTTGGGAGTAAATCAATCTTAGTTGTTTATATAAATGTATATTTTTCCAGTAAATGTCACTAAATATTAAGGGTCCAGTAATTCTTATTATTTCATTGGGTGCAATAAAAGTAAATTTGTATGAATCTGTATGTTCATTAAAATTAATATTTCTATTTTAATAAGATGAGATTGATATCATTACTTATGTGAACTTAAAATGAGATTGTGTTATTGATTTTCATTTTATCTGTCTGTTCATTTGAATATGTAAAAATACGTGCTGTTTTCTTTTGGAAGCATAGCTTTCCATATGGTATTAGAATCTCATTTTGATTCCAAAAGAAAATATTCATGTTAATGCATTACTAAGTAATTATTCACACATTTAAACTGAGTATTACTTCCATGAGATTTTACTTCAGTTTTTACTGTTTTAACACTATGGATCCAAATTTGTCTTTTCTGGCTATAATCAAAATATTCTAGAATATATATTATAATCTTTGCTTTTGTCATTTTTAGCCCTTGTATCTATCTACAGATAATAGGCTGTTGTTACCTGGGTATATTAATTTAAATAATTTTACGCGTTTAACAGATTCTATACCACTGGGTTTTCAGTTATCAACCATTTGTTGTGTGTCATGTTGATGGGAACTAGAGTAGGTAAAAGTAAAGAAACAGAACAAGTGAGAGTCCCTGGCCTTAAATATTTACACACCGATGAGGAAAGACACTCATAAATCTTACAATAATAGTGTACTAAGCACAATGCAAGAAGTATGGAGAATGAGAAAATTATCTACATGTAACCGAGAGAATCAAGGAAGGTTGCAGGTTTTGGAAGACACGTAAGAATTACCTCCATGAGGGAAGAGTAGAGGTGAGGTGGAGGGCATTCTTTCTTAACCAAAGGTATGCCATGTTGGAAATTGTATTTCAAGTAATTGATAGGTTTTTAATATTCTTGAATCTAGAGGGAGGATATCTGTACCTTAACTATCAGTTCTTCAACATCTACAGTTCTACATGTTCTAGTTAGGTTTAAAGAATTAAAATCCATTAAACTGTGGTTAGTGATGTTAGATGTCATGCTGGAGATTACCTTTGGAGGGGTCAGGGAGTGATGGAAGGGGGAGACAAGGAAACTTTCAGGATTCTAGTAATGTTCTGTTTCTTGATCTTGTTCTGGATCTGGTTATATGGGTTTACTGTGTGAGAACTCACTGAGCTGTGCACTTAGGGTTTGTGTGCTTTTCTCTGTTTATTAAACTTCAACAAAATGTTTTAAAAACAACTCCATTCATTTTAGGAACAGACGTTCTTCATGTATATGTTGATAACTGTAAATGCAGTTAAGCATAGAAAGAAATGCAAAAACTTATTTTTAATGTATTTGATAACGATTCTTCAACCTAAAGTGAGCAGAAATTTTTATTTTTGATGAAATTTACTAATTTTTCCTCTTTATGACTATTGATTTCTGTATCTGGCTGAAGAAATCTTTACGATTGTGAACAAATTTTCCTGTGTTTTCTTCTAGAAACTGTATATTTTTGGTTTTATTTTTTAGTTTATGTTATACTTAATTCATTTTTGTTTGTATAGGTGTGATATAAGGTTTGAGCTTCTTTCCCGCCTCACCCCATATGAATGTACAGTTGTTGTAACATCATTTTTTTAAAAAGATTCTTCCCCATTGAATTTGTTTGGCACCTTTGTAAAAACTTAAGTGACTGTGTAAGTATGGACTATTTCTGGACTCTATTCTGTTCCGTCTCTTTGTCTATACTTAGGACAATATCAGGTCTCTCTAGCTTTACAGCAAGATTTGAAGTGAGATTGTAAATGGCCACCAGCCTTATTCTTCTGTTTCAGGATTGGGCTATTTTAGGTCCTTTGCATTATCATATAAATTTTTGAATCACCTAGTCAATTTTTATTTCTAAACTATGCCTGCTGGAATTATAGTTTGAATCAATTCAGGAAATATTGACACATCCAAACCATAAATCTAAAAAGATATACTTTCTATTTTTAAAGATTTTCTTTAATTTTCTCTACAGTGTTTTATAGTTTTTAGTTGTAGAGATTTGGCACACCTTCCATTAGATTCATTTCTAAGGACTTCATGTTTTCTGGCACTATTGTAAATGGGATTATTTTAAAATTTTAATTTAAAATTTTATTTCCCATTTGTTTGCTTCTATACTTAGAAAAAGAACTTTAAAAAGAAAAAATAGAACTTTTAAAATATTGTACATTTTAGATATATATGTAAATTCACTGGTAAGTTTTAATATATGCAAATTTTCTGCATAAATAATTACGTCATCTGCAATTTAGAAAGTTTTCCTTCTTTCCATCTTTTTATTTTTATTTCTTTTCTTATTGCACTGGCTCGGGTCTTTCATATAGTGTTGAAGAGTAATGAGGATGGATATCTTTAACTTGTTCCGAATCTTGGGGAAAGTGTTTTCAGTGTTTTACCATTAGGTAAAATGCTAGCTATCTGGTATTTTTTTATAGATGCCATCGGTCAGACTAAGGAAGTTCCTTCTATTTTTTTCATAAGTGGTATCGAATTTTATCAGACACTTTTTCACTGCGTGTACTGAAATGACCCTATACTTCTCTTTTATTCTGTTACATTGGTAGGCTACATTGATTTTTTTTAAATTTTATTATGTTATGATAATCACCATACATTACAGCCTTAGTTTTTGATGTAGTGTTCCATGATTCATTGTTTGTGCATAACACCCAGTGCTCCCCATTCAATATGTGCCCTCTTTAATACCCATTACCAGGCTAACCCATCCCCCCACCTTCCTCCCCTCTAGAACTCTCAGTTTGTTTCTCAGAGTCCATATTCTCTCATGGTTCCTCTCCCCCTCCAATTCTCCCACCTTCATTTTTCTCTTCCTACTATCTTCTTTTTTTTAACATATAATGTATTATTTGTTTCAGAGGTACAGGTCTGTGATTCAACAGTCTTAAACAATTCACAGCGCTCACCATAGCACATACCCTCCCCAATGTCTATCACCCAGCCACCCCATCCCTCCCACACCCCACCACTCC